ATTGCTCTAAGCCATTGGTGACACTACCACGAATCCCAATAGCGCTGATACTGATACGGAGCCACGGAGAACGTAAAAGGTTACCGGGGCTCCGGCTCGCAGTGCAGGAGTAGAAACGGGGTGATTCTTAGTCGGTAAGAGTCTGACGCTCCTTCTCGCCTCACGAAGGGGTCAATGAACAATTTCCTCTTCAAAAAGAAGCCATGGTTGTTGTAAACACCGACTACACATATGACAGAGAAACTGGGTACCAGCGAAAGTCATGCTCTGAAAGTCAGATTTTTTAAAAATGTGATCTAGCTGTGTGATAAACAATGGCGTTGGGGCCTGTGGCAAATTCATCGGATGGGCCCCGTTCCGAATCATAATAGAGCAGTTTTAGATGAAAACCTTTTAACCGGGACATGTTGCAGCTGGGGGCCCGTGGCATTTTCGATTTACCAGTTTACCACCCTATAGTTACGCCACTGTCTATAACCCGTCTCACAAACCCTCTTATGTATAAAGAAGGTGCATTCCCTTGTCTGTGAGGCCAGTTTGGTATATCACGGGTTGTTGACATAGACATACATACATAAATTCACGCCTGTCTCCCATAGGGGGTTTGTTTTAAGGGGGGAAAATCATCGACAGACTGCTCCCGCCTGGGTGAGGCGGAAGGGAGTGTCAGACTCTTTCTGACTAAAAACCACCCCGTTCCTTCTCCTGCACGTCGAGCCGGAGCCCCGGTTACCCGTTAGGTTCTCCGCGACTCCGAATCGGCATCGGCCCTATTGGGCCCCATCTGTGGTGGTCTGATGGCTCTTTGAGGCGCGCGCGGAACGCGACGCGCCGTACGCTCGGGTCTGTTTCTGGTCGGACGGGGAGCCACCCATGCTCGCCGTCCGCAGGCCCGCGCTTACGGTGGCCGGAGATCGTCCCGCGATCCCCGACGCCCGGTGTGTCCTTCGCGATGGCTGGGTTGCGAGGAGGCAGCGCTTCGCTGCCTCACGCGTCCCGCCTCCTCCTTAGCTAGCATGACTGCTTCGCAAAAGGAGGAGACGGCATCCCAATCCCCCTCGCTCCGCATCATGGCCTGCACTAGGCCCGGACGCGAGAGGTCGCCATCGCCGATCACTTCCCTGAGGACACGGCGGTGCTCAGCCCACGAAGGGCATTCTCCCACCGTGTGTTCCACCGTGTCCTCAGGGCGGTCCTCGCAGTGATGACACCCGGGCGTTTCCTCCCGCCCCATCAGACACAGGTACCTCCCGAAACTTCCATGTCCGGTGAGGACCTGCGTCAGGCGGTAGGTGAGGACGCCGTAGCGTCTCTCAAGCCACTCCTCAAAGAGGGGACTTACCGCTGCGATGGCAGCGAGCCCAGCCCTCGGTTGCGACAGTCGTTGCTGCCATTCCGCCATGAGATCGCGCCGGAGCTCATCCCGCCACGCACTTATCTGGCGCGGCAGCGGAGTTTCGCCCCGGCGACGTGCCTCCGCGCGCATGCTGTGCACGCGCGCGAGCACCTTCGCCTCCAGATCCCACGGCGGTAATCCGGCAAGGAGGTTCGCCGACTCCCCAGAGATCGTGCGGTATCCGCGGATCATTCGGATCGCCATGACCCTCTGTGCCATGAGCAGCGTCCGAGCGGGACGCCGCAACAGGTTAGGCGCCCAAACAGGGGCGCCGTAGAGGGCCCTTTTTTTTTTTTTAAGGGGGGAAAATCATCGAATGACTGCCCCCGCCTGGGTGAGGCGGGAGGGAGTGTCAGACTCTTACTGACTAAAAACCACCCCGTTCCTTCTCCTGCACGTCGAGCCGGAGCCCCGGTTACCCGTTAGGTTCTCCGCGACTCCGAATCGGCATCGGCCCTATTGGGCCCCATCTGTGGTGGTCTGATGGCTCTTTGAGGCGCGCGCGGAACGCGACGCGCCGTACGCTCGGGTCTGTTTCTGGTCGGACGGGGAGCCACCCATGCTCGCCGTCCGCAGGCCCGCGCTTACGGTGGCCGGAGATCGTCCCGCGATCCCCGACGCCCGGTGTGTCCTTCGCGATGGCTGGGTTGCGAGGAGGCAGCGCTTCGCTGCCTCACGCGTCCCGCCTCCTCCTTAGCTAGCATGACTGCTTCGCAAAAGGAGGAGACGGCATCCCAGTCCCCCTCGCTCCGCATCATGGCCTGCACTAGGCCCGGACGCGAGAGGTCGCCATCGCCGATCACTTCCCTGAGGGCACGGCGGTGCTCAGCCCACGCAGGGCATTCTCCCACTGTGTGTGACACAAAAAGAATAGGTTGCCACTGCCCACCGTAAACAAGGTGATGAAAATAACGTCATCATTCTTCATCACTTCTATCTTCGCTCAAAATCAAAATAATACAATAAAATAACTATTTGTTGGTAAAAGATATTTGTAACTAACTAATTGACTAGTAATTCACCAATAATAGGTACCTACATTTTATTATGTTGTCCTTGTAAAAACCTAAGATATTTGGAAAACAGCAGGTGCGCTACCTAATTACGAGGTTACTGGGTCCTGGCCATGGATGTATAGATTCTGCCTTGACCTCATTTATTCCAATAAACAAAATAAAATGTAGCCTTGGTACAACTAACACTACGCTACATTATACCATAAACCTCTAGAGGTAATCGCAAGGGTACCTTTAATTTACTAATTCCATTATGTTGTTGGCGTAGCGATTTACAAACGCAATTCATTATGTTTTTGATTCAGATTTCAAACTCGGACAGTCGGAATATTCTTAGCAAACCGAGAACGAAATTGTCTACTGTAAACTGTTGCCTATGCCAATTATCTCGCCATTATCAATATAATAGAATAATTAATATAATAATTCACTACTGGATCTTTATGAGGCTTGTCTCCATGAAGGTTTAAACTAGGCCATTTTTATTTAGGTACATAAGGGGACATCTCACAATGGGAAAAATAAATTGAAGGGTGAACAAATTGATGTTTATAGGGCATTGATGTATGTGTGGGGAAACCATTTAGCACGTATTAAAATTTTCATCTGGTGCCACTAACATACCTGAGATGGAGCGTAAGAATAATAACCTGGAACGACCCTCTAGGCAAGCGAAATGAATATAGGAAGGAATAATATAGGAAGACTAACGACTAGCTGGGAAGTAAGAAAATAGCGGGTCCCCAGTGAATTAAAGTAGCAGAAGATAGAGACATTTGGAATACTTTGGAGGAGGCCTTTACCTCTTTATATGTTCTGTTGCTTTACCCAATAGGGGTTCTTACAGAATGCAAACTAACTAACACTAACAATAAATTAACTTTAAAATTTTAATTTAAAGTAACAAGTAAAATGTTAAATTAACTGTAAGAAATAAATGGCTTTTTTTATTTCTATTTTACATATTTATAAAGGCAAAGTTATACTGATAACTAAGTAGTTACATTCGTTTCTGGCTGTGCAAGACTTAAAAATAGGTAACACAAACATGAAAATTTTATTTCATCAATAAATCCATCGATGTAACGAATAGGTATTATTGCGTAACTTTCACTGTTTAAAACCTAAGGACTCATACATAATGTCCACTTTTACTAGATTATCTATTATTAAACTACTAGCATCTGCCCGCGGCTTCGCCCACGTTCCCGTGGATCAAAAGCCTATGTGTTATTCCAGACCATAATCTATCCCTGTTTCAAATTCCATCCTGATCCGTTTAGCCGTTTTGACATTTTCATAATTCACAAACTTTCGCATTTATAATATTATATTAAGTATATGGGTAAAGTTCCTAAGTAACTAAGTAGTTCCGTTACTATTATTAGTCTAGGCTCAGGCTTAAGCAAACTTTTGCCTAGAACATTATTCGAATAATATAATATTTATATAATATTTATTCGAATTTTGATAAATAAACTAAGACTATAATTATTTTTGGTTGAATCCATCATAGCATGTGTTGTGTATATTAATATGCTTCATTACATCACGCTCCTTTTACCAGAGTAGGAAACACGAACATCTGATCATCTAGTATTCATAAATTTTAATTTAACGGAGGAAATACCGACTAAAATTAATTAATGGGCAAGTAGTTTCTAACGTTCCTACTAATTTATTTATCTCTTAACATATTAATCTTGTTACAAAATGCTTAATTAGTGTATTCTCTCTTATTTGGTGTCAGTTAAACAATAACAAAATTAAATGCTTTTAAATAGTAAACAATGTATCACGCATTGCACTTTGTTCAGTGTTGCTATATACAAGGCCTTATAATACAAATAAAGCGCGCCAAATGTCACCCGGTCATGCACAATCAAATTATAGATCGACATTTGCCTGTACATAAGTAGCACGCAGGCGGTCAGCTGGTTTATTTGGCTACGGTCTACATAAATTGTAAACGAAATACGTGCCAACTTCCGTATTTTTAGGTCGTGTGTTGACAAATCGGTTCTATTTGTATGCTCTGCTAATTAAGCGGCAACTAAATTCGTCCTCCGTCAAAAGCTCACTGTGGAAATTAATTAAATAATGCGCCTGTTGACCTGTTGTGAACATTCGAGGCTGCTCATTCGCAGTCATTAAAAGTTTTGTAGCTAAGGACAGCTCAGGACATCTCTTATTTCCACTCTTGGTAATATCTAATGTTAGATGTGACTTGTGTGTAATATGAACAAAAAGTCAGAAAGAACATTATTCTATTTCTTTAATTAGGTAAAAATTAAACTTTTCTCTCAATGTGTAAGTGTAAGCAAGGACGTTGAAAAGTATAAGTATAATTGAATCTCGGCGCCTTTAAGCGAATGCGATAAGAGATGGCAACACTGTCAATCGAGTATACGTTCAAAAATACTTACTGGAATAAATGTGCTAATGTTCGGTACAACAAATGATGTTTTATAAATTGCGTGTATTATTATTGTTTATTTATTAAATAAATAAAGTAAATTTCTTCAATCGAATAAATCGACTAAATTACAGCAAATTGTCAAAAGTGACACTGAATACAAAATGGCTGACGTAAACATGGCGTCTTTGTAACTGAAAGTGACGCTTGTCTAAATAAAATTATTCTATTGATTTCAGGTTATTGGATACCAATATACCCATTTAATTATTGAAATCAGCAGGTAAGTCGTGTAGAGCTACTTGAGATTGTAGAGCTACTGGTTATTGTGCCATACACAACCGTTGATCTTGATTCTTAGCTGACCGGCAGTCGTCAGCGTTTTACGAAATTATGCGCTCTCGTTTTGCGAAATTAAAGTAGTAAAGGTATTTTGAACTTCTTATAGAATCATAACACGTTTATAAGCAAAATATTTACATGTATAATAGATTGTTTTCTTTCAATGTTTAGTCCATTTAGCCACATTGTGTATTGCAGCAGAACCATACATTTAGATATTATATTTTGTTTCAGGCAGAGCCTCTGCCATGGCTACACCAAACAGTTATAAACAGAGCCCATCAATGTCGATGCCAAGCCCTCAAAGCAATCCGCGTTTGTATTCCATACACACTTTATTCATATTAGATTGTAAAAACAAATAGCAAAGCATAGATAACAGTTTGGCCGATCACACTTACAGCATTCGAGACTGTTCTCTCTGGATGTTATTAATATTGTTTCTAGAATGTTGTTAGATACTAACTGTATAACCTATATACCTGATTTCGATGCCTATGCAAGCTTAGCAGGGCTGAGAACCGTTGTTGGTATTGCTGGTACCTAACTGCTGTTATGTCCCTCGGCAGCATGACTCCAATTCTATGCTTGTTTATTTTCAAAGTATATGCATTAGTAACTTACTTTTTATTTTCTCTTTAATTTGTTCTTTACGCATTAGACTACATTTTACTCTTATGTTGGTTTTGTTTCATGTTTTGTTATGTTGAAACAGACTACATGATTGCGGGGCCCCCCATGAGTTTCGGTATGATGAAAGGTAATGCCACAATCTGAATTATTTTATTTTCAAAATTGTTCTCACACCCTCATCTGTTTTGGAAATAGGTACTCTGTGGGGAATTAAAATTGTAATTGCACCAAAATTTTTCTCGTTTTCACATCACAAGTCATTGTTTCACACAGTCTGTATCTCTTGACTCTTGACTCTTGATACTTTCTGCTACTGAAGCCTACTTAATACAACTCGCTAGTACTGCTCGCTCTCACTAATAACTTCCACTTAACATTATGATTTGAATTTATTTAGATGTTGTGCATTTGATTATCTTTTGTTTGCCCTGCCCTTTCCTGTCCCATTCCCTTATGCTTTTTGTTTTTTTTTCTTTCATTGTATTGCCGCCCCGCTGCTTGGCTTGAAGGCGGTATGAATGCACCGCCGCCGCACCATAACCAATACCAGTACCACCACCCGCAATACCAAGGTGGTCCCTCGCTGGGCCACCCGGGGGGGTACGGGGGCTGGGCGCACAGTCCACAGCAACGTTTCGGTGCAGAGGGCGCGCGCCGCGCCGCCGGCGCTGCGGTGGCAGGCACCGCCGCCCAAGCCGCCAAGGACGATAAGACCAGTCCCTTTGTATCCACGGTACATTCACATCCTGGATTTCAGCCGCAGAAGATCGGCAAGGGTGCCGGCGCGGTGAGTCGAGTATATTGGGTAATATTTTGTGTGACTATTTGTAGAGATGACAAGTTTTTTGTAGTTGTTGCTGGTTTGTTATGTTCTAGTATTAGTAATCTATCATTTGTTAACAATTTTGTGACTTTTATTACAGCAATCTTACTCCACCAATCCTAAATACATACTAATATGTCTTTTACACATATTCCAGGGCGCCGGTCTGCCAAAGCCCCCAAAGCCGCCAGAAAAGCCCTTAATGCCCTACATGAGGTACTCCCGCCGCGTATGGGATACTGTAAAAGCGGCTCATCCCGATCTAAAGCTATGGGAGATAGGCAGAATTATTGGGGGCATGTGGCGAGACCTGCCAGAGACTGAGAAGGCTGGATATGTTGATGAGTATGAAGCCGAGAAGGTATGGATCCTCTTTCGTTTTTTATATACTTGGTTATCTACAATTTTAAGTGTTTTTCAGAGTAATTTTGTGCATACATAACATATTTTAGATTAATTAAACTAATTTTTTTTTTATTAATTTAAATAACTAAATATAACCCAATTTTGTCAATATTCTTTTATTTTAACAAAGCACAAAATTACTGAAATATACTTCTCTATTTTCATGGATATAAAAACCGAAAAGGTTGTTTATATCACATTTTTCAAAATAAAAAACAGAGGCTCATAAAGTAGCAATCAACTTTTCAATACCAGAGGTTAAAATAGTTGTAAAACCTCTTTCATTCAGGCGCAGTACACAGAAATGTTGAAAGCTTACCAATCCTCGCCCGCCTACTTACAGTGGCTGGCTCACAAATCTAGAGGTACAATATAAACCCTATGACCCTATACATTGGGTACAACTTTGTGCATAATCCACGCCATCACGAAAGTGCTTGTTTTAACACTGGGTTTTTGAGTTTTTGAGCTCTTGCTGTTTTGTGTAATTGTTATTTTTTGTGTTCAAATCAATATTTGTACCAATGTACAGAATGAAACCTAATTATACTAAACAGAACTAATTTCACACCACTTCATGAATGTGGTAATACAATTTCAATATCTATTAATTTTAAAGTAAGTACATGTTTGCACATTCAGCACAATGCTGCAGGTTTTTCTATTATTGACAGAACAAAAGAAAACTTGGAGTAACTGTAGTGTTGTTATTTCATTATTTTTCAACAGTACATTCAGTTTAGTTCTAACAAGATTTACAGCCAATTTCTATAACATGTCTCAATCCAAAATGTGTGGATTAAGATCGATTTTTGACAGAAACTCCGTACAACTACTGTCAATAATCGATCTATATCGACGCGTTTTGAATTAAGATAGTTTATTTAAATTGGCAGTTAGTTTCTAATAATACAAAAAATTCTGTTTACAAATTATTTTTATTATGAATTAAAGTCAACAAGACTATTCTACACACAAACAGCAACAGCACAAAACATGGGTGACCATTGTGTGAACAGTATGGGCATAATGTTCGACTGCTAGGTACCATTAGAGTCACTGTATATTACTGCACCAGGGTACAACCATTATTCATAGCTAAACAAATGTGCTCCGTCCCCTTCCTGGTGGGAGATTTGTGTCTAGTTTTTATTTGTTCCTGATTTGGAATTGTGTGTACTTATGACTGATCTCATTTCAAATTTTCATTCAAACAGTATACGGCTGTGAACAATATTGCTTTGTTTGATGTCAAATATCGAAATTGTATACTCTCTGTCTCTGAATTCTAACCAAAAGATATTCATTGATTAAAATACTTAATTTATTTTGATCCTAATCTCAAAAGATCCTAAGGTCAAAATTCAAAAGACCTTGGGAGTTAAAAATGAACCCTTTTCGCTTATCGATGCAGTTCGAAAAGGGATGGAATAATTGTATAACAATAAACTTTAACAATGTGTCCTCTAATATTACAGGACCCCCGTATATTATTACTTGTCTATAAATAAATATAGTAAAATTTACACACGTCCACTCACTTCCAAATCAGAAATGTGACTAACCCGCACACCGTTATAAGTAACGCTATTTTATCCTTCACATGCACGCCACCTCATATATTTGCACGCGGATCCATCTGACACCGACAGTTGGAGTATGAGAAAAGTCTGAAGGCATACCACAACTCGCCCGCGTATTTAGCATATATTGCGGCGAAAAATAAAGCTGTAGGTAAGGGATATTCAATGAGGTTGCATGCACAATCGTTTGCAAGATTTGGTAGTATTTATTTTTTCGTTGTTGGCAATTTTTTGTTCAGTGTTGCCATGTTGTAAGATATTTTTCTACCAAATCCAGATAAAATGGTAGCTTTTATCGGTTATTTAATAAGTTAAACTAGAAGTTGATATAAAAATATTTCGTTTATTTTTACAAAGGCTTTGTATGTGTTCTATGTTGTCCTTGTTTTTTGTGTAGCTTTAAAAGCTTAATGTTATAGTAATATCGCAGTTATAACTGCCCATCTTTCATATGCAATTGTAATGTTAAAATATCAAATGCATCTTGCACGTATCTATGTTGTCGCTTTAAATTTTTTCCATAATATACTACGTCAAAGCGATGGAACAGCATTTTTCAAAACCTCTAAATCATAATGGTTCTACAATGCCATCGATTTTTTTATTTTCTATAAAAAAAATCCCTAGTATCTAGCTGGGTACGGAGCCGCAGAGAACCTAACGTGTTACCGGGGCTCCGTCTCGAAGTGCAAGAAAAGGAACGGGGTGGTTTTTAGTCAGTGAGAGTCTGACACTCCCTCCCGCCTCACCCAGGCGGAGAAATGAAATCATTCGATGTTTTTCCCCCCTTAAAAAAAGCCTTCCATAAAAATTTTCGCCATTTCTCACGGTTCTTTAAGTAAAAGTAATTTATTCGAAAAATAATAACTATTTATTTGACTATACTCATTACCTATGTTCCATCGATTTGACGCTTTCTCCTATTAGGTTCGGATTTTAAGACTTTCCTTGTGTCAGCAGTAGGTAATCTTGAGGAGGAGACCTCCAGCAAGAAGGGCAGCTCACAGAAAGAACAACAGCAACAAGACAGAAGAATTGATATACAACCTGCTGAGGATGAAGAAGGTAGGAGATTAAAATTTTAAAACGAATTCTATATATTTATTATTACAATCTTGTTAAGTACTTTATTGATCACGACTGAGGGACAAGGAGCTATTTGGAGAGCTTTGGAGTTACGAGTAAGATTTTATTGGAGAGGCTAACTCCTTTTTTCATTTGGCTCATAATATAACTGGTGATACGTGTGTGTTAAATCATATATGCGTATTCCTTTAAACCTTCAAGGACTAAAAGGCGTGATTTTTTTTTTGTTACTAGCTACGTCCGCGTGGTTTCACACGCTCTGCTCAGCTCATATTGGTCGTAGCGTGATGTTTTATAGCCTATAGCCATCCTCAATAAATGCGCTATCCAGCACAAAAATAATTATTCAAATCAGACTTGTAGTTACGTAGATTAGCGCGTTCAAACAAACAAAAAACAAACTCTTCCGCTTTATATAATAGTATAAGATGTTAAGTATTCCTACCTTGATTTGTATCAAGGCTAATCCTGAAAATATCTGAGCAAACTTTATAACTGCGATAATAAACCTGTCTTATCAATTTTCAGATCAAGATGAAGGCCTTTCAGTGAAGCACGTGGCCTACGCCCGGTACCTCCGCAACCACCGACTGATCAACGAGATATTCTCTGACACTGTCGTACCTGACGTACGATCCGTCGTAACGACCGCAAGGATGCAGGTAAATTACTTGAAAATGTTTTATTATTACAACTTTACTTACCTGAAGCAAAGAAATAGCCAGTGGCAAGTATACAAAAAAAAATATGGTTACGAAGTCTGTGAAGCAATATTGATGTGCTCCTGTCGCGGAGAACCTAACGGGTTACCGGGGCCCCGGCTCGAAGTGCAGGAGAAGGAACGGGGTGGTTTTTATTCAGGAAGAGTCTGACACTCCCTCCCGCCTCACCCAGGCGGGAGCAGTCATTCGATGATTTTCCCCCCTTAAAAAAAATACCTCGGTTTTCACTACCGCGTCTCAGGTGGGGCAAAGATTATTGTGTTATCAATTTTCAGAATTTATTATTGTAAATTATGTATATATGACAATTACATTTTTCTTTATCAGATCTTGAAGAAACAAGTGCAGTCCCTGACGATGCACCAGAAGAAGCTGGAGGATGAGCTGCAGCAGATCGAAGAGAAGTTCGAAGCCAAGAAGCGCAAGTTTATTGAAAGCAGTGAAGCATTCCAGGAGGAACTTAAGAAGGTAACAAAATGTTTATAAGTTGGCTTTTCTTACATAGCTGACTTTTTAGTGGCCTGTAATGTCAAGATGTCTTGTGTCCGAAGTTAGATTCCATTACTTTCAATTTACGCAAGTCTGGGTTAAAACCACGGAGGGAAAAGTAGATTATCTTACAATTATCACCGTTTTATCATCATCACGCCTTTTAACCAAGGGGTAGGCAGAGGTATACATTATGCCACTGTACAATGTAACACCCACTTACCACAATTCATGTTGAGTCCCATGTAATAGGGGGTGAGTCTATTGCCATATACCGGGCCCCGGTACCCCTTCGGGGATAAAAGGCGTGATGTTATGTTATGTTATCTTCATCCTTTCTTATCTTATTCTTATCACCGTTTTTTCTTATTAAAACTCGCAACTACGGTAACATTTAATTTGTGTACCCTCATGTCCCTCTATCATTGGAGATATAACCATCAGTTGAAAAACATCTATTATTGAACAAAAACCTTCCCCTTAGCTCCCTTCCGCACTAGCGATCAACCGCACGGCTAGCCGCTCTCAGCAGTTGACCACTATTCCAATTTAATATGCAAACGCGTCTGTCGATCAAAACCGCCTGACGGCTAAGAGGCCGTCCATAAATTACGTCACACGTTGAGGGGTAGGGAGGGGGTCGACAAAGGTGTGACATTGTGTGACAAGGGGGATGGAGGAATCCTAAACTTTGTGATGTCACATTTAAAAAACTATTATAAAACACGAAATATAATTGTATTAATACTTTTTATTTTGTTTGATTTGGTATTAACATTTTTTTAAAGTAATTTAAATAGAAATAAAACTGATTTCGGAACCGCTGTTTTCATTCAATATTTTTTAACATACGTAATTCTGCAAAATGTGACGTCACACTAGGGGGGGGGGGTCTCACAAATGTCACTAGCTGTGACAAAGACGGGGGAGGGGCAAAAAATCATGGAAATTGTGTGACGTAAGTTATGGATGACCCCCTAATCGCTAGTGCGTAAGGTAAGTAAGGGGCTTCAATTCTCTAAGTCAAAGTCAAAGCATTTATTTCAATTAAACCATAGTTTGGTACTTTTGAAACGTCAACAAATACAAAATAAATAATAGTCTGTCAGTCAGTCCGTCAGTGAAATTAGGTGAAGCTAGGTGCTCTTTCCAAAACGTAGATTCGAATGGAGAAGAACGAGCAAGAAACTCCATTCGTTACTCTTTTAAAAAAGTATGTTCTACAATGTCTCTGATACATATTTATATCTCTCACAACTTACTAAATCATACTTTTATTTATTCCCAGCACTGCAAGCCAGCGGTAGACGACGATACATTCTCCCGTATGGTGGAGCGAGCGATAGAACAGATGAAACGCGGCATCAATCCCATCACGCAGCCACTCGCTCCGCTCAGTGCTGTGCCTCAAGAGAGGAAGGATGAGGTGAGTTTCCTTAACATAAAATTATAAAAATATTGCATACATTTATGTTTACCGTAAAAATAATGATTTTCATTCTAACTGCCCTTGTTTTTCTAACAAACTCAATTTAAAAAATTGTCCAGCCCATGGACCAGGACCAGCCTCAAGTAAAACCAGAAACGAACGGCCCCAACCTGCCAACACAGGTGGACAAGGTGTCCACCACTGAAGTAAAGCCGGAGAGTGTCACCACAGAGCTGAAGAACGAGTCAGAAGCCAAGGATAAGGAACCAGAGGAACCAGCTAGTAATGGACCGGAGAGTGAAGGTAAGAAGATGGGAAATGGAGTTTATTTGCTATGGTAATACCTAAATGCATTTCCCCGTTCCTACTCCTGCACTTCGAGCCGGAGCCCCGGCAACCCGGTTACCCGTTAAGTCGCGGCCGTGTTTAGTTTGGCTCTCCCACACTTAATTGCTTTTGGTTATTGATCAAGAAGTAATAAAACTCATTTTAATTTTAAATACTCAAATGTCCCAGGTGAACAGAAAGAAGACAAACCTGCACCTAAGCTAGATAACAAGGAGGCTGCGCCCCCTGGTGCCCCCGTTGGCCCCGGAGCCCCCGTAGCCCCCGGTGCTCCTGTAGTACCTGGAGCCCCTGGAGCCCCGGGCGCTCCGCCTGCACAGCAACCTGGACACCCACCACACATCACGTCTCCACCGCATCATCGTGAGTTTTACTGTAAAATATCGTACTCTATCGAAAAACTTGTAATGTAGATGATAAAATTGGTCAGCTGGTCTGCAATAAATATTAACAGTTAAACTTATACCCCAAAATATGTGGTGTGTTTGTAAACACTTCATAAAGGTAAAGAAAGAAAGGAAAATTGTTTATTTGCATACCGTCACAAAGTACAATACCACACAAAAAATAAACAGTGAAGACGGCGCAAAAAGGCCAGAGCTCAGCTTAAATGCCGTGACGCGAGTGCGCTCGAGTCGCGGCGTCATAAAGCTACATCTAATCGCTCCAACCAGAGAAGTGCTACTTCTCTGGTCTTTCTTTTTAGTGACTCCCTAGTAACTCAGATCTGTTACTGGAGTGAGACATTGACGCGACTCCGGCAACTCCAGACGGAACAAGTGTGTCGTATGGAATATTTACTGTCGTTACTTTTCTGATACCCAAAAAATCACCGCAAAAACATTCACTAAGTTAAAATTTTGAGCAAATAATTTGTAATTCACAGCTATGATGATGCCACCGAACCCTAACGCGCCTGCCCACCCTGGACCACCTCCTCACGGCGGACCACCACCACCTCCAGGTAAATTTATTCAATAGAGTATATTGCAAAGTAATAATAAAGTAATAAATACTAATATCTCGTTATTACGCTCTTGACTTAAAAATAGACGGAAGTATGTAATTTTTTTTTCCTCACGTCACCTACTTACCTGCGTTTGTGTTTCTACGATTAGGAGCATACGGCGGTGCCTACGGCGGACGTTACTACGGAGGTTACGCCGGCGCGTTCGGCGGAGCGTACGGGCACGGCGCGTACTACGGGGGCGCGGCCCCGGCGGCGCACGGCCCGCACGGCGCGCTGCCGGCACCGCCGCCCGACCACTACGCGCCGCACCACGCCATGCACCACCACGCTCAGCCACACCACCCACATGACGCCAAACGTGAGTAATGTATCGATACCAGATACCAAAATGAAATATCCAGTCTTCATTGTAGTTTGTTTTTCCGAATTCAAAAGATTTGTACACAAAAACATAAAAACCAAATTGAATTAAGCTATATTCCATGTTTAAAAGGGTTTGAACTTGAACACGAAATTAGAGATCACTTTAATTGGTAATTTTAAGCTTCGCAACAAGAAATTGATACTATATAAAGATCTGACTAAATTCCATGTAGTGAAAATTGCCATTTTTGTTGACACATTGCGCCACTGAATCAAATATTCTAGTTTAGTATAATGATGTTTAAAAGATTGCGCCCCAATAAACATAAATAAGTACATACGCGAGAATAAAAACTCTTGCCTTCAAAAACTCGCTGAAAATTGTTCATTTTCTATTTCAGAGGAAGAACCACAAGCAAAAAAAGAAGGTGAATGATCGTCACCTAAACGCGTCGTCAAACGACGGCGCAAGTCCTCGCCGAAGGACGCGCAGTGAACTGATCGTGAAACGTGATGTCACTGCTCACAACATAACAACTGTTGTCATATGGACTATTTAAAGTGAACTCACAGACAAGTGACTGTTTACTAGTGTAGTGTCTATTTTAAATGGTGTAAGATTTCAATCCAAAATCGCCCTTATTACTAAGCCCAGATGAGGCAGTATGAATAGGTCTCAAGGTGAAGGAATTGTTGAATTCGAAACCAACATCGCACATCTACGAATAGAAAAGCAAAGTTCAAGCGAATTTCAACCTTACAGACTTAACTTCACAATTCCAAATAGAAAAATTCAATTAACCTATTACAAATCCGTCAAAATATTTTTTACTACTTTAATTCATATTGATCTAATACATTCTGTATTTTTGACGTATAAAATGTAGGTAATATTTTAATACATGAATGATCTAGATATAGATACTTTTTATGCACTAAGTTATGTATATTTGTAATAGCTAGGGTCTATTATTAATTACTTAGTATAAAAATCAATATAAGAATAAGGAGTGCTTATTAATTACTAGAAATATGAGGTCATACCTTAGAATTGTCTGTTCTATTTTCGCCGATGAATTAGACCTCTCAATGCGTACAAAAAATTAACGAAAATTGTACATTAATTGCATTAGATCTTATAAATGTTATTGCTGAATTAAAATAATATACACTATAAGAATAAATAGCGATATACTATTGTAAGTAGAAGTTAGTTGTCTCCATGTTGAATATCCATATTGCTATTTTGTTAAAATATTAAATGTCAAGTTGTACTTTAGTAGTGGGAGTTGTGGGTTGTATTATAAGTTAAGATTGATACCAATCCATAATTAAACGTAATTTATAAATATGCAATCATTTGTAATCAATCATTGAATACACAAGACTAAGGAATGGTTTAGAAATATACTTATAAATGCTTATAATAAAATTGTTTTATTATCTGGTTCCCGAATTTTCGTTTTAACTTTTTTTCTCTAAAGGTGTGTTGTTATCTGAGGTGATATTAAATTCAATTGTTAAGAAAGCATCCGTAAGTCTTAAAAATGAAAATTCGTAAAGTACAATTAACTTTTGTATTTTAGAAAAAGTATAAACATATATCACTAAGTCCCTTCAACTCCTTCAAAAAACTCTTTATTATACTAGACTGACTACGATTAAAACGACTAGGTTATTTTATAATGCGGTAGATTAGAAGACTTCGGTACTGTAGGTACCTATTTGGTTTCTAATACTAAATAAAGACGGCAAATTACTATTTATACGCTACTTATTTCATGATCCTGCGCAATACTGTATGTATTACCTTAACATGCAAATAAAGAGTTTGAGTTTGAGAATATCGAATTAGTAGATTTGCCGGGGGCACAGCTGCCTGTTTCCTTGTAGCAACAGAATTTGCTGAGCCTAAAGGCTGAAATCTTGAGTACATGCCTATTTTTCGACTGGAGACCATTTTTCAAGCCAGTCTGTGTCTACGAAACTTCACCGCTATGTAACCCCATTTGATCTAGTTCTGTAGTTCCAGAACACATACTTGGCTGTCTCAAATAACATTTAGATCTTTAAGGAGGACAAGGTAATATTAATATTTAGAGCAGATGTGAATTAAACCTAGATAGCCAAACACCTCATAGGCAGCCCTAATTTTTCTCTCACCGCCCCTGTTAGGTACCTGGCGCCCTAGTTTACCCTAGGGATAATACGGCTCTGATTTAGATGGTGCTCAACAGGACGAAGACTATTGTAATATTTAGCGTTCAGTTGATTATAACCATAGCCACGATTAGCATCCCACATAACTAGTGTAACTTACACAATAAATTATTGAACGGGAAATCTGTGGTCTCTTTCAACTCAAAACAAACTAACGACGCCTGAGGTCCATACAGAAGTACTTTACCCCCAAAGTAAAAATTTGTTCCCAGTGCCCTTCCAGTCACAGATGAGACCACATGTGGAGTACCAACTTATTTCATCACGTAGAAGTGTTATAAAAGGTAATAAAACAATCAGGAACTTCATTATTACAATTTTATTTTCTTAAATTATGTACATATTTTGTATTAATAGTTACATTCCTATGTCATGGAATATAGTTATCACATTTCACATTAGGTACATGTTATTATATGAATTCGGAATATTTAGTTGCATGATATTGCACAATATCATAAATGGGCTTTTAGCCACTTTAGCGCTTGTCTACAGAGAGAGTAGAAATCAAAATGTATACTGACAAGTGTCAAAATTTACGTCAATTCCCTAATTATAATTTGGTTTTCTATTCTACATGTAGACAAGCGCTCAATGAAATTGGGCTATAGCTGATGATTACCCACTGTCTTATGTCCTACCTCAAATACTGCGTTAGCTTAGTGATCGTAAGTACGATTGCTAGCACGAAGTCTTAGGGTTCATTTAAAAGTCCGGGTATGGATATAGGTCAGTCTTCAATGCAAATAGGCTTATTACCTATTACATGAGACCAGCATTAATCTTTCTATTAATGCCATACCATATTACATCATGAGTGCAAGGCTCCAGATTGACTAGGTTGCTTACATAAAGTTAAAATCTTTAAAGTTTTTAAACAGATTATAACATACATAACATCACGCCTTTTATTCCCAAAGGGGTAGGCAGAGGTGCACATTACGGCACTTAGTGCCACTATAATGTAACATATTAAATAGCTTGATAATAAGACCATATAGCTTGATACTTAGATCTACAACTTATTTTGAGTACTTTTTCAGTAGTTGAGCGTCAGCTGGATAATTGGTATAACGCTGATAGTACAGTGAGAGATAAAAGAATAGTCATTATAGGGGCTACGTTATTTGCTCTTGAGGTAGGTCTATCGGTAACAATGGCGGGAGGTCGACCAGTAACAGTGGGTAACGTAGAACTATAGATTGGTCTAGTAGTTGTATCATTTATGGTAGTTTCATTTGTTGTCGTTGTAGTCCTTATTGTCACTGTTGTCCGTTTAGTCGTTGTGGTCCGTTTAGTCGTGGTGGTCCTCCTCGTCGTCGTAGTTCTTCGAGTAGTTCTCGTGGGTCTTTTATAGAAGATTATATTTCTGTTCACGTTGCCCAATGGATTTAAGACGTTCTTTGGATCCTGGCAAAATGTGTCGTCTACGTTTGGCGGTGTGTATCGGAAAGCGTCTACTAGTACCACTGATTCTGCAGCTGCTCTCCCCACTATGGATATCTTTAACAAATAAATAAACAATGTTGAATTTTTGGATCCTTTCGGGTGGGTATACTTATTGATGTTGGATTTTTCGTTGAATTGCACTGTGGTAAAGTGATTTATTTAAGGGTGCTAATTAAGGCAGCTTCTTTAAAATGTCATTCTCGTCTGCAAATATATTTAGTTGTCTAATGAATTAATAGGTCAGCGACAAACTTTTAGCGTCTAATAAATGGTTTATAAGCGACCATATATTGTAAAACAAGCTACTGTTAATATGACGCAACATTTAAACTAATATTTTTAATATAAACGGCTAAATGGTATGAAAAGATTTAAAAAGCAGTTAGTGATATAACGCTCGGCGGCCGCTACCGCGGCACCGCTCGCTACGCTCGCTCGCCTCGCGCCTTGTGAGGGTCGCAGTTCTAACCTAACCTAACCAAATGTTTCGGGGTGCCCAAAATTGCTGTGCAGTCAGTCAACATTAGTCGCTGAGTTATCAAATCAGAAGTAAATATATTTATCGGTAGCTCGGAGTCATATTAATTTACGCTCGTAAATTGACGCTGGTTTCTTGATATTTTGTTGGAATAGTAAAGATGATGAATTAATATAATTGAAGCTGTTCTATTAACTCGTCGCTCACATATAAAAAAAGACGCTAGGTTGCAGGTGCTAAAGAAAACTTTTGTTGCCGCACATATAATTTCCCAAT